CATACGAGTTATATTTCACAACATACCCTGCCATTAAGAAGAAAAAGGCAGTAAATAAAAGAGTTAAGATTGTGATTACACAAGATCTCATTAAGAAGCCTTGTCGGAGTCTTGCTTATCGAACTGATTAAACTTTATCCAAGTTTTTTTAGTATTCATAAAAGAGTAGCTTTCTTGAAGATTTATAGAACATACTCGATAGTTAAATCGAGTGGGGTTTCCAGAGGTTCAGAGCTTTAGAACGTCTTACGCTGCGAAGTATAATGCTGTCATCTGGATCGTTAGGATTCCGGTCTAAGGAATTCTCGTGTTATGTTGTTTTCTCTTGCTGCTGCGCTGCCCTTTAGAGGAATATGCGATGTTTATGAGGTAGAACAAAATGAAACGGAATCTTCCGTTTAGACCATTAGTCTACATCATCGGTGGAGTTGACAAGGATTTTTCATTTGGTGTAGTCACGCTGTTTATGATGTGTCATGTAGTGGTTCACTAGAGGTTGTTTGTTTTGAATTCTTCCAGTTACTTCTCTTTTTACAATATTGCGAATTCCGTTGTAAACCGACCCTTCGTTTTGAATAATCAATATACTTTTTTATGGAGAAGCTTATACGAGGTTATTACCAAGCATTTATTCGGCGGTTTTTTTACTCCACTGAAGATTCGAGTCTGTACAACAACGACAACAGCAATTCTCAAGGCCGAACTACTGGGCCATCGGATTGGAACAGCCGCTCTTAAGAATACGAAGACAAGATGGAGTAAACGTTTGATAACAACCTGCTGTTAGGTTACCAATGAAAAAAAGTATATTGCGAGTTTCTTTGCTATTTTTTTGTAACAATTGTTTTTTCTTACCCTTCTTACTCTCCATGGGAGCACTTTGGAAAGTTAAAGTTTCCTCTTTCATCGAATTTTCTTATTTCTTTATTAGATAATTACGACGTATTTAGAGCAGATTTAATCCCTCATATTCTTTCGATACACAATGTCTTTTTTTTTACTAATGGCTGCTGAATCGAATCTTTGGGCTCTGTGATCGGGTCTGCACTGTGCTGCTTTAGAGGTGCCACAAGGGCGTCATAATGTTTGTAAGAAAGTATTCGGTCTCTGTATCGGTCATTCTGCTAAGCGATTTTCATGTTCCACGTTTATTTCTTTCTGTCTTGAATGAGTGTTTTAAGGTAGAATTGTGAACAGGGTCATAGGTAAGGTGTTTATATACCTGTGCCGATCTCCTGTTGGTTCTCTATTTCACGTTCCCTCCGTAGCTTTTCCTATTAAGGCGTTACATTTTCCGACAACAATTCTGTACATAAGCTTCTTGTTGCGGGTCACTTTCTCCAACTGGTCATACTACGCGTCCAAGACACAGCATGGCTACGCTATGTGACGGGATATCGTGTGAATCGACATGATGCGCAACCGATAAGGGTGTGAATAAAACTAGCACCACACGCATTTCCTAGACGGGTCCTCTTCCATGAATAGTAAAGTTTCTATAGCATGCTGAATGGTGAGGTAACTGGTTTTCTGTGTGGAAAGTGGACTCCTAAGATGAATACACGTTTTACAAGGCTTCTGAATGAAAATCTAACTTCTTTTAAAGTTGGGTAACATAATCTTAGCCCTGTTTCCATTTTAAAATTTTTAATCCTTCGGCTTTTGTGGTTCACATCCTTTTCTATCCATCTCAGTTCGTTTATCCGTTACGGTAAATTGTAGAAGAATATTTTGAGAAGAGTTGAGAACTGTAGTATCATTGAAAAGAAAATTTAAAGCCGAAAAATTCGTGATGTTAGTAGAGGAAACTTAATGCATGGTTTGGGTTTGATGTATTAAAGAGTGCTTTAAATGTTTTTCTATATTACATTGTTATTTAATGACTGAATAATTTCAGCTGTCTGCAATCGTGGTCTTCTTCAGTCCATGTTTCAAAAGATTATCACACTGAAGTCTCTCGATCACGTTCTCTTCATCATGCAACTTTTCATTTTGTAAAGGAACAATCTTCCAGAAAAGCATGTTAATAAATCTCACAGACTTGGGCTGCAATGCTTCTGACATCCCTTTCAGTTACAGTATTGACTCGGTTGCTTTACTTAACGTTTACTTATTCACTTGAGTTTTCCATGGCAGTCAGTTTAATTGTGATAAAATAGAGTTTGGATGTTATATTGTGATCCCTTTCGAAGACTTATGAATATGAACGCCGTGTTACTGTGATACTTGCCACTTCAAAATTCTTGTACCGTATGCATTTTCCTATGAAATGCTTCACACAGGTACTTCTGGAAAAGTAATAGCTTCTTTTTTTGCTCGAGATCAGTATGTCATTAAAGATCTTACGTGAATATTGTGTGTGCTTTATTACAACGATGCTAATTCAGATTACATAGAAATTTTCAAGAGAGATCTCATTATTGTCAGGAATGGTTTGTAAATGATTTGTTGATAATTATCTAGTAAGTTATTGAAAAACAATACGAACTGGTGCTAATACGCTGGAGTCTATTCTTTTTTTTTCTTTTAATCTGTTTGGCTGTGTCTTTCTGTCTATTTGCTCATGTTTCGTGTCATATGAGTTATACCTGACTCATATTGTTATATGCTTTATTATTTTTACGGTAGCAGATGATTCTCATTAGGATGAGAATATGACATTAAAAAGAAGATCAGATCGATTAGAAAGCAGTGCGTTTGCAGTTACCTGCATCGCATCCTGTGTGTCCATAATTTTAGGGAACATGCGAAAATTGAATAGAAAAGATCTACAGGTGATGATATGAAAACTTCATCTTTTAGAAGGTTAGAACTTCTTTGTTCGGTTGCGGATTTTGGTCTGGCGGATTTCGCCGGAACATCAGCTTGTGTGTAAATGAACGAATAAGATAACACCTTGTGTTTGCTAAACAGAAATATAAAGAATTACTCAATTAATGCCGAGGTTAATAGAACGTCGTTTATGGGAGTCTCAGTGATGCTTTGATAGTTTGAAGACCGGTTTACCCATAGCACTGGATTCCCAGTAATTCCATTCTTTTCGTTGCATCTACCAGCCATGAAGGTGGTCCGGTTCAGGTGTAAATCCGACTACTATATTAAGATCAGTTGTTCCTCCCCTCACTGATATGTTGAATGTTGAGTGAGCATGCTTGTAACCGAAATACTGAGCCAACCACACTAGGACGTTGCAGGTCTTTGGGGCTAATTGCCATCGCCGTTTTTTTGATAGGAAGGAGGTTTGCTTACACCTTTCGGATTCTTTCTCGCTGATCGCTAGTTCTTGTGCGCAGCGAATAGTAGTCGACTGATCGCTTGACGCTGCAACATTCCCGAAATGGCTGAATGAAAGTTTGCAAATATAATAGAACAAATAGAGACAAAAGCAAGGCAATGAAATTTCTGGAGTGATTTCCAGTGGTTTCCATTTCCAGTTTTTCTGGAATATTAGATAACAGGTTATTTGTTCGACTTTGCAAAAGCAGATGAAAACGTTCTGGATATAATTTGCGTGCAGCAACTAAACCGTTGCACGTGTATGCGTGAATATAGTCATGTTTGTATATGTGAATATTGCCACATATATACACATATATATGTATATATGTTTATATATGTATATATGCTTATATATATATACATATGTACGTATCTATGCATCTATGTGTACTCTTGGTAAACTTTTGAGTATAATACATATGTGATGTGTATGTAGGCCTGAGTGGAGTATCCAGAACAGTTTTTTGGGACATTCCCATTACCTTAATTGTAGGGTTCTCTCCGAATGAACGTGCAGGATCCATTCCATATGCACATAAGTGCACTTTTGTTCATATACGTATACTCACACACACTTATGTATGCGAATACATACATACATATACATATATGTATATATATATATTAATTCACATATATATAATGTCGACATATTTTTGAAAATCTGCTTATATATTTGCATAAATAGATAAAAGTCAACTAGCCCAGCCAAAATATCCACCTCATCCAAGGAATTCACTTGTTTCGCAGCAAATTCATGGTCGCCGTTGGTTCACGTTTAATGCTCTATCAACTACTAGAATGATATGTGCAATTAATGGTAAAGGTTATGTTAAAAACTTCTGCAATACCCAGATGCTAGTTGTAGGTTGAGCAGTTCTTGAACCTCGCATTATGAACTTTTTCTAGGACTTAAGAGCGCTTGATCTATGAATTGGTATAGGTCCCTGTTAATCTATTCTTTCTGTCGTGAATTTTTTTTCCGTTTCTACCATATGACTGCTTGTGATTGATAACGTTTTTGGATCCTTTTAGAACAATCATGGATTTCATATAGCGTGAATTGTTTTTCTAAGCCATAAGAACCTGATTCGGTCTCATTCAGCACTCCCTGTTTCGCCGAGGAGAGGCGGGCTATGCAGAAAAGGCTCATCAAGCTTATCCGCCATCCCGTAAGCCATACGAATGGTCGTGAATCGATATTGATCCGGCGTCTTAGACTAATTATTTTTAAAAAAATTCCTGAGAACTTTAATATAATCGTGTCATTTTATCCCTTCTGCTTTCAGGGCGTATACTATACCCATTTTGATTTCCTCAAATCGTTTTTGGTGCCTAAAAATACTCAGTGCGTTGAGATCGCTTTTTTAACGATCTCCGTTTTTCATTGGCTCACCCCGTTGTATTTCTATTACCATATGATTTCTTTTAGTTGGTGGCTTTCATATTTCAGGTATGAGACCAGTTTTAATATTCTACCTCTACTTACACTCAGTACATTGTCAGTTTGCTGAAATTGCCTCACTCGCTACCTCACTGCTTGGTACTGGACTAGGGCCAGCTTTGGGAGGTATATGAGGCTTATATTTTTGCTCTTCATTTATCCATTGGCCCTGAGGGATTTGTTCCAACATTTTGCCCGTTGTAGGGGCAAAAGTTAGAAGCAATTATTTTCATGATGTTACAGTTTTTACGAGTTCTAACCTTCTACATAAGCAGAAAGTTATTAAAATACACAGAACTACTACAGTGTACTTGTTGTTTCAAGTGTTTTCTTTTTCATTGTTATTCTTTATCAAAAACCGTTATAGGCGCGGCATCTGCTAGTTCGGCTGGCTCAGCAGCTGGTTCGGCGCTTGGCGCACTATCACAGATTGGACAGTGTTAGTTAGTAATCTTCCGAAATTTTGTTTCGAATTCTACTTGATTGAAACCTTTTCGAGAGTTATGAAAAGGAAGATTAGGGTCTTCTTGTAGTTAAAATGTTGTGTTAATTGAAGAATGTCAAGTTTCATTCTTAAATCTTTTTACATGAGTTTTGGATAGCTCGCCTTACCATTGACTCAAATCAAAGTTCCTATTTCAAGTCTTATACTGCTGGTTTGAGATCCTTTTTTGTTCGCCTGGATTCATGACAGCCGTGCGAGAGTGTGGTGCTTAAATCTGTCAAGAAGTCTATAATATTGAAGAAAAATAGTGAAATATCATCTTGCAAACTGCAGTGCATAATCAAATAACGACAGATTTCACATTTTATGGCAGCGCTTCCCATAAAAATCCAGTCGAAATGAGATTGGAACAACTAAGATCAGAGCGATAAGATTCGGCCAGTACTGGAACATAATAAAATTCGTTGCCGCGAATTACTGGATGAAGCAGTATGTCGTGGAGTATGCTTTTGTGAACTGACATGGGAAAAGGAATGTTTCATAGATCTCCATTAACGTCTCCATTGTCAGAGAATGCTACCATCAAGTCCATTTCTCCTCTCTCAAAAAACTGAAACTAAACGGAAAAATTATCAACTTCTTTCAGTTCGTATTAGCGTTTCATTCTAGGCAATTCTCCTCTTAGCATCAGTTCTGTTTTAAACGTGAATGACGTACATCTAGTAGATTCACGAATAATGCGATGTTTAGTGTATCAACTTGCTCAAGGCGCTCTACAACTAACAGGTACTGGCGTTGGCGTGTTAAACCAAGCATCAGAAGGCAACTGGTTTCCGGCCGTACTCGAACATGCGTCCAAGAACGCTAGTCAGTTTGATTTAAAGTTTTAAACTTATAGGAAATTGTAAAATTAGGGTAAACTAAATCGTTTGGAATTTTCTTAGGGATGCACCATACATACAACTCTATTTTTGCCATAGTAGAGGTCATCGCGTGCATATTTGGTTTACACAATGATTTGCTTAGGCCTACCGGCATGGGAACTCCATGTTTTTGTAATTTCCGAGAGAAGTATAGCGCCAATTTTCTCACCATGAAAATGGAATGGTTAGCCTTGCACGTGGGATCGAACCAAAGATAGCGAGTGTAGAATTGCATCTCTAGTCACTGCGCTAGATGAATCATAAAATGAATCGTATGAGTGCCAACGAATTAACGTTTTTTCGTTAATATTTTACAGAATGCTTTTGATAGAGAAGAAATGTACTCATGTTGCATGTCAAATCGAAGTATATACGAAAATTTACAAACACAGTTTTTCTTTCCTTCCGTCTGTTTGGGGCCTGGGTAAGTTGACGTAGGAAAAATCGAAATTATGTTTTTTAAATTTTATATCGCTTTTGTTGCAAAAATAGTGGAAGATGTTCTTGCGTAGACCTATTGCAATCTAGTCCGGTTCTGACCAGTTTGATGAAGTTTTAACGATCTGACAAGAAAAGCAAAAAAATGCATATGGTTTTAACAGGTTGAATGCATTATGGATATTTTTGAACATTTTTTGCTCATCTCGTTTGCGGAACGTAAAGGAACTAAGTAAACTGTAGGAGATCTTCGGTGATAAGGGTTATCATATTATCAATGACGAAGACGGTATCGATTTCCTACCACGCTTATTTAGGATGTGAGCGTAAAAATCTCAATAGTTGATCCACAGCTAAACATAACATAGACAAGCAGTCTATTCTGTGAAACACTTTCACATCCTCAACGGTGAAACATTCCATTTCCTTTCCTCTATTTTGAATCGCATAGAAGTTTCCCAGACAATCTCATATCAAATTGCTGATCCCGAAAGGATAGGGATTTGGTTGGCTCAGGGTGAGGGGTAAGTTTAGACCACAATTTATAAGATAATATTTAGTTTTTCTGTTCTAATGCGCATTCTTCAACATAGATCTCATGTGATGGAGTTGGAAATGGACAATATGGCTTCGATGTGGCATAAGTGATGCGAAGGTAGCACAAAATCTTGTCGCTTTGATTTCGAAAATGATCACGGGCAGCTAATTCGGATCAGCGCTAAAAATCTAGCTCGCATACTGCGATTGACCTTCACGCACTCTTTTCATTCACAACCAAGAATAGCTATAGCGATTTTAGAACGATTTGATTCACACCATAGGCTAGATGATGAAAAAGATAAGCTCTTTTAGTAACGATTTTACACAATGCTTAATTGGGCTGAACGGCAGTCAGAGCGGCGCCTACATGATAGCTTTGTAGTTGTAGAAGGAGTAATGAAAGGTATACTTTGACAAAAAGGTAATGATTAGCTCGATTCCCATAGCGATGACCATAATGGCGGTAGCGAAGTGGATTGCGAACAATTTCAGGCCACCATAAGGAATATGCACAGAATATTCTTGAAAACCATAAGTCAAAAACCCATATCAATTTATTCATGGACAATACAAGCTCATTAATCAGACATAGAAAGCGATAAGAGCGGATCAAGTCTCTGTACCTATTTATTACAGATATTAGCAGACTAAAGCACATTTGACAAAGGTAATTTTTAGGGTACTTGTAATCCACCTAGTAACTTATCACCTCATCTTAGCTGTGGGCAGGTGTTTCTTTGTGTTGAATTGCATTCATCCTGGGCTCCAAGCAGTGCCTTTTCGGGAACCTAGCTAAGAGGAAACTTCTAACCAAAAGCTAGATACTTTTATTGTGGTATTACTGTGCATTACAGGGTCAAATGGTGGTCACTGGCTGGTTATCTCAAGTAACCCGATAATTAAGCTACCACAGGTGATACTGGTGGTACAAAATGTTCCCAACTAGTCAATGCACGAGTAGAAACTTCAAGTAACAGTTCATTCCCTGTTATGTTATTTAGTGTAAAAGTTGACTTGAGGTGATATTATGTTCATTTCCAGGAGCCCTTATGACTGGACATAGTGGTGGCATTGCTGGTCCTCCAAATCTTGGTGCATTAGGTCCTATTGGTCCTGGAAGTCCTAGTTCACAAATTGATCCAGAATTCGGAACAAGTAATCTGTCCTTTATTATAAAAGCACTATTTAAAAATGCTAAACCGTCTTTGTGAAATTTTTCTAGCACTTCTTTGTGCAAGATTTAACTATTTTTTCTTACAGATTTTCCTGCTCCAAGCATTGAAGACTATGAAGATAGCAGTGAAAAAGAAGACATAACGGTAAGTTAATGATTGAAGTTAGTTATAAATCAAAATACTATGTTTTCCGTTGCATTATGAAGCTCACCTTCTTAGACCTAAAGTCGTAAAATCGTATTATGCTTCATGCCGTTGTAGTTATGACAGGCACTCATGTGGCGCAACTGTTAGAGGTGCCATGCAGCACAAAGTGGTCATTACTTCGATCCCGCGCCAGGACTAACCAACGCCCCATCCCTTTAGGCTCGGAAATTTGGCACCAGTTTTGTCTGAAAGCATAAGGACACTGACTTGATACATCGCTAAGCTACCACAAGTCATTATATAGGTCATATATGCATCCAGCCACCTCTAATACGCTACGGATAGAGTCTGATGTCCGACGAATCTTAAAGGAATTACCTTTTGCACAGCGTATTATGGTTTATCTGTTGTGCATTACCACTATGATGAAAATTACTAGAAAGCAAACCTGAACACCACTTCAACTCACATGGTTACTTTGAAAGGTAGATAAGACTATCGAATTTTCTAATTTTCTATGTTGATTTCTCTGAATGTTTTCACTCAGAAGTGCTAAGGCACCTTTAATTTTTTCTTTAGAATCTTGTTTATCCAGTTGTTTTTTTATGTTTCCATGCTACAAGCAGAAATGTTGTATTCTGCTTCCAGACAACTACAGCTTTGGCGGATATTGATGGTGATTCTGATGTGGATATCACAACAGTTACTTCACGCCCTAGTTCCTCACCAATAGCGCTGTTTCCTGAAGAGGTAATAGTTTTAGAAATCTTTTTACAAGGAAATTCTGATATATTCTGAAAAGAAAAAAACTCGTTTTGTATTTGACACTTTAAGAAACAGAACAGTTTTTGTTCAAGAACACCATTTATATTGAGCATTTGCCTTGCAAATTGCATATCATTCACAGTCAGTATATACCTTAAAATGGAATTTACTGTATTTTAATCCATGCATTGGCAACAATACAAACCACACATACCTCACATTCCTTGTAATACTTTATGTTTATACATATATAACGTATACTTTTCCTGGACAGTCAACTAGAATCATAGAGGATCTGAAGATGACAAAGACTTCGAATCCTTCGGCGAATAAAGCTTGAGATCAGCATCATGTTAGCTTGCTAACGGAGAGAGTAGCCTTTGACTATAATACGTACATTACAATTTTTGTATCATAGGATTGAAGGGCGCCTCTGGCGCAGTGGTCGGAGGCGCTCTGGGACACACCCACGGGATCGATCCTAGCGCCCGTGGTTCACCAAGCCTTCCTTCCATCCTTCCGGGTTCGGCAAATTGGTACCAGACCCATCTGGAAGGATAGTAGCACTGGCTCGATACATCGGCAGACCACCGCGAGTCATTGTAAAGGCCAGATATCCATTGAATCATCTCCAAATGATGCTTAATGAAATCGAATGCATGGCGCATCCCTCAGGGATTGATCAACGCAAAGAGCTTTATTTTTTTATTTGTTTTATCATACGAATACAGAAAAAGTCGCGTTGCTAAAATTGCACGAGACCGTTCGTGAAGAATTATGAAAAAAAAGCTGTTAAAATCACTAACTGGTACTTACTGGGGCGTTCACGATTACATTGTGATTTTATCGTGATTGTTGTTGTTTTTATTGGTTCAACAGTGTCTTTCAGCATGAAACGAATTTCATAACAGAACAAATTACACCACAACCACTCAAAGAAATTCGCATTGAATTACCCAAAAGCAGCAGCTCAAGTACAAATAGTGATTACACTGTTGAGGTAGTTATTATAATACTTACTTGAACATATACTTGAATGGCCCGCCGTCATTTGCTGTGTGGGCTCCAACATAATCTCCATTATTTCGGAGATTTACTGGTTAAGCCATTGTGGTTACCTGGAACCTCGAGGTCAGCTTGGCCAAAACCTGCACCGAGTCTTCATCACCACAGGTAGTCACAGGAGCCGTAGCCTTTGTGGATTAGAGGGAGATTTGCCACCGTGTGATTTTGATACCAGGACGGTGGTGGATCTTGGTATTAGTTTACTCCTAGCTAGGCTTCCTGATGGAAACACCGGACTCCTCGCTTGGGAGATCCTGCCACGGGATGAATCCTTTGCTGCACATCGCAGTCCGACACCCAGGAACTTTCCAGACACGATGAGGGGTAAACCGTTGGGAGGATTATAATACTTCGTGACAAAAATAGCAATAGAGAACAATGAAGAGAGAAAAAAAGTGAAGGAAAGTAAACTTTGATATGATTTGATGTGATAGGGGATGACAGCCGATGGGCAGTCTCGCGTTGAAATCACCAACAATGCAAGGAATGACGGTGATGAAAATCTGGTTCGTTGATTTTTGTTTATTATTAGACGATAATAATGAAATGTGAAGTAAATTAAAGGAAATCAAAAATGAAACCATGTCCTAAGTCCGATAAGGTAATCATTCGACTATGAAAATATTCCTCAGCTCTTTCAGATTGCGCGTACTTGAAGTGGTCCTAGGATTTCTTTCTCCCGTATATTTAAGGATATACATTTCTCTGGGAACGTTTAGCAAAGTGGTTAGAAGTGCCTTAAAATACACAATGGATCGCTCGCTTGCTCTATTCTGCGTGTTAGGCTCACCAAACCTTCCATCATTCCACGATCGGCAAATTGATACCAGACCTGTCCAGGAGGACGGCAGCACTGTCCGTTTCGTTAAGTTACAGTATAAATGCCTTCCATATTAAACAAGATTTTTTTTCAAGTCTTCTTTTCACAGCTGTTAGTAAACATGCCTCTCTTCCTCAAATATTTGGTTTTGGCTTAGCTTACCTCTCTACACTCATTTTTTAGCAAATGATTTTTTTTAGTTTTCATTTTCTCATAACTTTAGCTGAATACATATAAGTGGACATTTCATTACCAAATGAAAAATGGGAAGTAGAACTGTGCTAGATGAAAGAAAAATTATATGTGCAAGTCATAAAAGTTGAAATTCTTATTGTTTTAACCCTTGTTTACTGCCTATTCTTTTTTCTTGGTAGGGTGTTATGTGAAGCACAATCACAAGGATGCTGAGAAATGAGCAATACCCGAGACCTCAGTGGGGCTTCGAACCTTAATCAACCCTTGAAAACGGCTCAGGCGCTATCCACCACGCCAACAGAGGCCCTTACGTTGCATTTCTTTAGGCCGTTAACCTAACAGTACTATCACCCATCAACGGGGATGAAATGGGAGCAAAAATCGGTATCGAATCCAGTTAAGCTGAAACTATCAGAAATTACAATGTTTTAGTTTTAATGTTCCAATTCATTAAAATCTGTTATTCGAGAGGTATTTGGGGTAAAATTTAAATGTTCGTCGAAATTTACGAATCGATTTTTTTCGTTATAAGCATTATATTGTTTTCAGCTCACTCAAAAATTACTAAAAGTATAAATATGTGATGTTAAGGAGTTAAATAATGGTTGAATAGGCGTGTTTAGTTGACGCCAGACCGAGTCTCGGCCGCGAAAACCTTGAACGCAGAAATTCGAACTGGAGTGCCGAACCTCTCAAAGTTGATTGACGTTCTACGAAAGAGTAAGCTAAAAGAGTCGGAAATAATGGAGATCGTGTCGCAAGTGGGAAAATTTTTTTACAGTATTACGTTTCTGTAGGATTTCTCTCTCTTTCATCTTCCTCAGTCTAACCATTTCCCTTTCCATAGTTTTTTCTTTCCATCATATTTTACTTGTCTTCTAGGTTGAAAGTAACGATAATATCGTAAAATCACCAAAAGTGGATTTCACATCTGCAGTTCAAAATATTCCACTGAAACAGCAGAAAAATCGTGAACGTATAGCGAAAGCTACAAGAGAACTTCAAGATAATATTGAACCACAAGAAAAGGTGAGCATGAATAAAACGTTTACCATAAAGTGTAATCTATCGTGTTAAACATCGCAATGGCATTCTTGACAATCGGAAAAACGATCATGGTAAACTCGATTAAAATACGCGAAGCAAAAGGAGTCTTGGGAAGAAACACTCTCCAATTTAGTTCTTTCTTCTAATGCTAGATGCTTCATTTTGGTTGAATGTAAATCTGAAAAGGGTCCATCCTCTTTCTCTGCATGAAGAGGAGTAGTCGAAAACTTTCTAATAACTGTACTGGAGTGGCTGCAACCACAAATTCGACATATTTAGTGAGAATAACCGTCTCACCTTAAAAGCAGAATGTTTTCAAATGTTGAATTCGAATGTACAACAGCCAATGGCCGATTAAGCGTACGCGGTTACCCAAGTTCAGAAGAGCCGTGCCACCTTCACAACGCATGTCATCATTGGTTCCATCTCGAGATTAGAGTTGAGCACTCAGCTCATTTTTCCGTAAAGGATGAATTAGTAACGGATTTGTCTGGAAAGATTAAGACGAACTTCAACAAAATTTAAAGACACTAACTTCATATATGACTTGGCCAAGCAGAATTTAGACCAAATACTTACTTGATACTTGAATGACCCATCCGAATTGGTTGTGGTTGCGCGGGCCCCAGCATAATCTCCATTTTTCGAAGAGTTGCTGGTTAAGCCATTATGGTTTCCTGGAGTCCTGAGGTCAGCGTGGCCAAAGTCTGCCTCAGGTCCTCACCACCAGAGGCTGACGCAGCCCTTGTGGATCAGAGGTAGATTTGCCACCGTGCGACTTTGATACCAGGGCGGTGGTGGATCCTGGTATTGGTTTACTCTTAGCTTGGCTTCATGATTTAAACGCCGTGCTCCTTCTCAACTTGGGAGACCCTGCTAGGGGATGAATTTTCCTCTGTACATCGCAGTCCGACACCCAGGAACACCTCCCATCCACGATGAGGCGGTAAACCGTTGGGAGGTTAAACCAAATATGCATTCGATAAGTTTAACTATATTTAGTGGAGTCAAATGCATGGTTTTCCTAAGAGCTTGATCAACTCTAAACCGTTTTTAAGAAATTTTTTAATAATTTAATACTTTTTTGCTGTATATGCTTGCTGGAACTATCCGCAGTTTTCCTTTATATTTATATTAATACTCGTTACATTTAAGTCCGTTGATCCGACAACAAGGGCTGTTGATATGCTCCCTACTATGGCCGATGTTTTAGGTTGCCCAGGCGCACTTAGCTTATTTCCTCCAACTGCCAGGCTTGGCAGCATCGGAAACAACAGCGATTCCTGTCGTTGCTCACTCTGTGTGTTTCTTAAATCTCACTATAAAAAATCAGTTGAAGATATTATATTTGATGTTCGTTCTTGTTTGAACTAGCACTAGTGACTTGTATGAATTTTAGGCTCTTCATTCTGCGCAGAAGATTCATTTCACCGGTACACAACAACTTCCACCACTTACACAAATGGAATTTACTGCGAAAAATCCACTACAAAGAGAAGCATCCCCAATACCAATCGGAAAAACACCCTACCCGACACCTTCGCCCACACTAGGAACGTTATCTCAAGGGCAATATACTACTCAACCACATTACGTGAGTTAATGGGTTTTTCCAAAAAGTTTGGTTTTTATCATGTTTGTCATAAATTTTTTTTGATAAATTTTCAAGGTTCTCTACAATAACTGGCAACAACCACTGTACAATTCTCTTCAATCGAATATGCAGTCGTTGCCACTTTATCAACCGCATCATGCCATTCATTCACCACTTCGTTATGTGTTTCATCATCAGTATGGTCAGCCACAATCTCAACACCTTCCAACTTTGCTGCCTCAGGTTGGTTTTCGTTCTGTGGATCAAAATCGTGACAGTTTTGCCATTTTATTATATTTCAAATTAGTTTAGCCTTATCAAATTCAACAAACGACCTATTCACAACAAGTGCAAGGCCGGCAGCAGCTTCAACAGTTTCAACAACTGCCGGGATTGGCAGCATTCAACAATCAGCAACAGATTTCACAACCGTATCAACATCTGCAACAACTGCAACCACAACAGCAACAACAACAACCACTGCGACAACAGCCACAACAACAACGACAGATATACCAGGGAGTGGGGCAGAGTTACCCATACTTGTACCAAAAGCAACCGTACAACACTGATCAGCGAGTGGGGCCTTGGTCCCAACAATATTATCAACGACAGCAACAGCAACCGCAACCGCAAGCACGGCACCCGAGTTCTTACAGGTAACGACACTATTATAACTGAGAAATCTTGTCCACAGAGTGCTTCAGATGCAATTAATATGAAAATGGAGGAAGACATCAAGAAGCATTGTTGTTTGAGCTTCCTATTTTTAGTCACATCTCAGTATCTGTGTGATTACGCTTTACATAGTATCTTACCATGAAAAAAGAATAGCCAGTAAATAAAAGTTAACACATTAACTAGCATTGATCAGAAATATTTAAATGGAGGCCTTGTGTTGTATTTCTCCATAAAAGGAGCAGATACTTTAAGTCGCTTTTAACATTATAATATTAGTAAAGGTTTACTTAATTTTCGGCCCGTTCCATCGTCCACGAGTAATCACGTTGAGGATTCGCAGGATTTGGTGCCGGCACAGTAATAGAGATCGCACTGGAAGAATCCGAGAGTCACAAGGCCGCAAACTTTCATCAAATCCACAAAAACCAACGATTTTGTCAACACAGCCTGAGAATGTCAGATCAGGGCTATATCTAAATTCCAAAGAAAATCACAACCAGTATTCGTCACATCACAAGAGAAGATGACGCATTATCAAGTTACAGCCACATCCACACACAATACCGTTGTCCTCTGTTGGCGATATTCACAAAACTGTGAAACGTACACCAGAAGTACTTGGGCCCGCTTAGAATGTAACGAAAGCTTAAATTACGATTTACGTTTATCTCATTGATTGAGTGCATTTAGCAGCATTGGCTTTGTACTACCGGCTCTCGTGAGCGTATTTGAGAGTGTCGACGTTGATTTAGGGTCGTGGAACGTATCTTTAATAAGAAAAGATAAATGTACATAATGCTCAGCACAGTGAACAGTAATCCAAAGTTGACTTATTTCTGCAACAAAAGCTATGCCTATAATATGCTCTTCTTTAGTAAAATAAATTAAAACTAGCTATTTAATGCGTTTTTTCCACTTTTTTACTTGGTGCTTGAACGACCCATCCTCACTGGCTGTGCGGACCCCAATATAATCACAACCGTTCCGAGATTTGCCCGAGTTCACCCTGGTCAAAGTCTCCACCACGTCTTCACCACCACAGGCAGCCGCAGTCCTTGTTGACCAAGGGGAAATTTGCCATTATTCGACTTTGATACCAGGACGATGGTGGATCCTGGTATTGGTTTACTCTTAGCTAGGCTTCCTGATAGAAACGCCGGCCTCCTTCTCAGCTTGGGAGGCTCTGCCGGGAGGACGAATCCCCCTGTTGTACAGCTCAGTCCGACACCCAGGAGCAGCTCTCAACGACGATGAGGCGGTAAACCGTTAGGAGGTTTTCCACAGGTTGCGAAAAGTATGGAGAACGTTTGAGACATATTATTCAATCGGGCGCTCCCTTTCAGTAGTGAAAAAATGTCTAACATCAAATGTATTACATGGAATTCCTTTAAATCAAATACCTAAATTTTTTGACAGTAACAATAAGCGAAGTATACTTGACTCAAAAGTAAGTATTTGCTATAACCTAAGAAATCACATCTAATTAGCTATTTGTTGAAATGGAGCAACCTGCTTTAGAATGCAGATTTTAGACAGGCAAAACAAGTTAGTGGTCAAGTCTATCCTCTGTCTTCTACGACAAGACATGTAGTGTTCACAAATCAGCCAGCCGGTATGTCAAAATCCTAGTAAGACCTTTCTTCTGTTTGCCTTATGTTTTTTTCTGTGTGTATAGTTTATCTTCTTTAGGGACGCCACCAGAATATAATCAAGAGACAAATGTAGCTCTAACAGCTCCAATACAGCATGGCAACATCCTGATTAAACTCAATACGGTAAATATTTGTGGAATTTTCTAAGCACTACCGTAATCCGTTAAGGAACTTTGGGATGACAGAACTATAAGAGCGGATATTCCGTTCCTGTCATGAATTCACCCCTACAGTGTGCTGAACATGCAGTCTCTTAGTTGTGTTCGGAGTGTTCTGTCACCCGTCAACGGGATTGCTGATGGCAAAAAAGATCGATAGAACTAGCTGAGAGACAGACAAAACGAAGGACCCGGATGGTGTGGTGGTGAAGTGCACTGCTCTCCGGTAAGGACAACAGCGCGTGTTCGTTCACCACCGCATACACCTGCGGTCCGGAGTTTTGCAAATATCTCAGCATTATATACGAGTTATATTTCGCAACAAACTCTGCCATTAAAAAGAAAAAAAGGCAGTAAGTAGAAGGGTTATCGCTATTGTTCAGAATCGCATAGATACTGCTCCAAGAAGTACTCTTGGGCGGTCCTATTTGCATCAGCGTTCCATAAAAACGCAAGGAACGGGCTATAGCAGTCGTCGAACTGTTGAGGTAGTTAAATATATTTCCATTTTCCTCTATTTCAATCTTATTTCTAGTCTGCTTGTATTTTCTAAACTCTTCTAGACAACATTTTTTTCTGTATTATAATTTCATTTGGCTCATTTTCCTTTAGGTATTGAACTAGTTAGTGTTTTATTATTAGATTAATGAAAGGAGATCACAATAAGTTCGGTAAAAGAAATGTCCAGTAAGGCTCAAAATATCTGGGCCACTTTGTCTTTTGACCGACATTATAGCTTCCCACAGAGCAGGGTTATGCAAACTATTTTTTATTTTTTCCTGTTTTTCTGTTTTCTTTTCTTCATACCATGCCATCGAATTTCATAAACCTTTAGAAACCGATAATGGGTCCATTAACGGAAGCAAAAGCGGTCAGTGTGTCGTCAGAAGTCACCGCTATTTCTAAACAGTCTGCTCAACGTACAACTAGTGCCGTATTTCCGCGAAGGCGTTTTCCAACCAGGACCATTCCAACTCAACGGTTTAGCACAACGTCAACGTTCCGTCCTGTCGAAGCCGATACTAGCAATAAACTTCGTTAACGCATCTACACTTTCGAGCACGGAAGATTAAGGAAATAATTAGGATAGCTTCAGGAAAAAAATTTCTAGCATTTCTTACCCTGCCATTGAAAAGAATGGGCAGTAAGTAAAAAGGTTAGGAAACTTTTCTATAATGTTATCTAGTGAAATGGTACTAAGTGGTACACATTTGATCTGAAACATATCTTCTTCTCATCAGCTTTTTTTGACGAATTTTTTTCTACATTGTCTTTAGTACACGATTGCTTTTACGTTGTTTGTTTCAATTGTTTTGCTAATTATTGTGATGTGTTGATGGTTAACACCCCTTTGTTTTTCTTTTAGCCGTAGAGTTTTTTCTGTTCTTCGCTTGTCCTATTTTTAGGCGCATTCTTGTCCATAGATGTTTACCTAACGCAATAACATGTGAACGCTTCGCGGAGCGGTTGTGGTAGTTTCGTTAGGATTTGCGTGCACTATGACTCTGGTTGTGGATTTCGTCTTGCGAATCACAGAAATCCGTATATTCAAACAAAATGAGAACGACACTGAGCTGCTCAAATACACGTATGCAGTTGTTTTCTTCTCAGCAAATAAAACTCCCAGATGGGATTCGCGCACAAGGTGATTTATTAGTAAATCGTGATCCAGAAATAAACTTCTCACCTCGAATGACAGTTACTCATGTTGTTAACGTCATTCACTAAGTTGCATGAGTTGCACTTGCACGCTTCAAGTGATCCAATTCCGCTTTCAAATTTTTCACGCTCACTCTTATCTTATTTTTTCATGGTTTCATTCGTTTTTTTCTTCGAAAACTGTGAAAAACATATATAGAGTTTTGTTACTAGCAGTTTTATTTGCCTTTAGACGGTGTCATCAGTATTATTCCATTGGTCGCAGGTCATACTTTCTTCTTTCAATACTTTTCATGGATGTATTTTTGCTATGTAATATCGTTTTTGTATGGATAACTTTTAGCGGTGCTGTTTTTTTATGATGAGTTAATCTAAGAAAAGAACCCACCTCACTGTCTGTGACACACATATTTTTTAATTACTGAGGGATAAGCGACATAGTTATCTTATGTCTGTTAGTTTTTGGTGATGTTGTTTAATGTAAAGAAGAAATGATTTTTTTAAAAATGTTGTTGTGTAGACGTCGGCGGGATAGATTCTCTTCATTGTGAACTTACTGTCACAGGCTAGTTGTCTATGAAAAGTACAGCCGAAAGGTAATCGTGTCAAACAGTCACACGAATAGGTTCTACCACATAGCGCCGATATTTTGAAATCCGTAAGGCTTCGATTTTAAGCAGTTGACTCTATTCGTAGCATCATTGAAGTGACTGGTGTAGCCTATACAATGACTTGCTGTGGCCTACTGATTCATCGTATCAATTCTTTTATCCTTCCAGGTAACTCTGCTATCAATCGGCCAACTCCCTATTGTTGCTAAACTTGACTTTCACAAGAAAGAGTGGACCATTTCCATTAGAACTCCAGTATTTTCCAGATTTCATATTAATCCTAACCATATCCTGGCAAAGTAGTTTATGAGCTACCATTATTATTGAAAAAATATCTTTCTTAATTATGCGGAAAAAGCGCGTTTGAAAGGACATAGCCCTTTGGTTATTTTTGCCAGCTTGGATTTGTTTTTGGTGTTTATAGCAACGGTATCAAAGTTATTTAAATGGTTTTGTATGGCTACTTAGAAAACTGAATTACTCACCGTAATAGTAATTGCGTGTGGCGTAGTGGTTGGAGGCGCCACTGCGACACACACGTGGAATCGATCCCCGCGCCCATGGCCCACCATGCCTTCCATCATCATCGGGGTCGGCAAATTGGCACCAGACTTGTCTGGGAGGATAGCAGCACTGGCTCGGTACATCGGTAGGTCACCGCGAGTCATTGTAGAGGCCAGATATGCATTCATTCACCTCCAAACGTTAATTAATGAAGTAGAATGCATGGTCCATCTCTCAGGGATTGATCAACTCCGAGTGCTTCATCCTTTTTTTCAATAGTAACTGTTGGGAGCAGTAGTTCTTTTATTTCTAGTGGTTTCATTTCTTTGCAACCGTCATTCATGAAAGTGTTTAGATCAGTACCTGCTTTCGATTGTAGCTGAAAGATCTTCTTTCCGTTTTACTAGCTGGATGAGATTCATGGATGATCGTCCATGTAATTATGAGAAGTCGTTCTATAACTGTCTTCAATCTTACTCGTGCTACATTTTTCCTTGGTCTTCACTAGATGCGTTCGCGTTCCACTGAGTAAGGAAGGTGTTCCGCCTCCATGTGACTAGGATTGTTCATAGACAGCAGCAAGTCGACTGACTGATCGAAAACGTTCTCCGATCGAATATATAGACAATAATGGGCAAAAGTAGTAAAAGGTTATAAATATTGTGTGTAAGCATTGGTGGTCAAATGAATTTATTTGATTGATAAGAAGAATTCCCGTCGTATGGGAGCTGCAAATGGAAAAGGTCAAAGAAAATGTGTTAAAAGAGTAGGGAAAGTCTTGTTTTATCAGTTTTTCTTATTTGAAATCATAGAAGAATACCCTATTGCGAAAGATCACGGATGAGAAAATATCATATTGGAAAGCGAGCAACAAAAGCCTGAAATGAAAAGAGTTTTAAATACCTTACAGTAAAGAGAGGAAAAGAAATGAAGAAGGAATAAAATTGTTCGTTCGGTTCGGCTTGCTGTTCTAATCATTTCAAAACTTGCTCGATGATATACCATTATCGATATCACCTGTGTCATCTTTAATCTCATCAATCATTTAGTAATTCGAACGGGCGCCAATAAAATCTCACTTAGTCGCTATCATGCACCAAGCTATAGCTTGGCTATACACCATTCTCTTCGGTGTCCATGGGCAAATTCACTAACCTGTGGTGTAAGCATACAATCACGACTTTCACAAAGAGAAAAATCTGGGGCTGGCTTGTTGGAGATAATTCCGAGCTGCTTGCAATGTGCCTTCTAGTCACATGATTGTAAGATAATGGTTGGATCGATGTGTTTAGCAAAATTTGCACATAGATAAGAGTGTCTACTCACCTATGAATGAGTAAGGTAACACATACATATACGTAAGTTAGAAGCCAATATTTTCCATCTACGACAACGGAGACAGGAATCTCGACTGCTGAATTCGGCCGTACATCAGGGTAAGAGTGCATGCCAGATTTAATCACCGACTAAGCCCATATCGTTTACCTACAGGTGAACGACATCGTTCCTTGAAAACCCCTATATGAGAGGTCCATAGGGTGCCAACATCGAAAATACCCCATTTCGTCATCCATAATGCGTATGTGCTATTAGCACCATTTCTAAAATTTTACTTCGCTGATATGGGCTATTATTATGACCAACATTGCTAGCGTGTATTTTTGTTCTCAATATCTATTCCTTTTCAACAGCGTGAGACCACCTTTGTGCTGTGAATATAGGATGAGAAAGTGCGGAAATGTTTTATTACACTTGTAAAAAATATTATCGTTTTCGCTAACACATTTTTTTCCAGAGAAAGATTTGCTCAGACTTAGAGATAGAAGTGCTTGCTCAGGCTTGGAGGAAGATATGGGCAGCGTAATAAGTTAAGCAAACATGCTATAAATTATTTTTTGACATTAAATACTTGCTTAAAGTACATTTGAAGTGCTTCTTTCACTCCACTACATTGAAAAGGAGTTGCGCTGGATCAGGTCGAAAAAAGTTGGAAAGTGAAAGTTAATGGATAGCTTTTTCATAGTTTTCTTGTGTTCCCTGTAGTGCGAAGTATCGCAGAATTACAATCTAACATCCTTACCTCGATGTAAACAAAGTCTGCGTAGGTAATAGAGTTATTGTAGACATGTTGCATTCTATTTAGTTCAAAATTTTCCTTACTTGAGTGGATCGCAATAGAATGTTGTTCACATGTTCTTATAAGGTAGATGAAATGTTCATAAGTATTTGACTAGTCATTTACTGCTCAACGAAAATGGCTTCGAAGGAAATTCTGTACCTGTCTTGGGAAATATCTCAGCATTGATCACATTAATGATATGGAACGACGCAAAGAGTTCTTGTGACTGATGGCTTTGAATAATGGTCTACGTCGTCGACGATTCCAAAACGATAACAATTGATTTCCAGTATTATGTTCATTTTCGTGCTATCTCCTTTGTTCTCAATCAGGGTTTAGGATTGGTAATAACTTAGTCATTGCCAATACTTGGACGATCGACTCAATTTCTAACGGCGTCGAGCATTTGCAAATCGTTCAGTTTCAAGGAAGTGCATAGAATATTGGCCGAAGATATGATTACCGCAGAAAACATTTGTATGAACCACTGAAAAAGGTTCGATGCAAGATCAAAGACAGCACAATCTTATGTACGCAGATATGACAACACAATCGATTTCATGCAACGACGACCGCACCAGAGGTTATGAGGTGATGATGATCTTATCTTATCAGACTTTTTTTAAAAATAGTCAACAAAGCTGTTTACTATTTTTAGGAAAGATTTCCCATCCACATACAGTATATGACACAATCCCCGAATGAAATAATCCTCTCCTTCTTCCCCATCGCGTTGATCCAAGTCGATCGTCACAGCTCGTCGTCGTTACATCGAGTCAAATGCACTGGAGCAGGTACACCACTCTAATGGGGAACTTCACTCGGCAGTGTCCTTTCATGCAGTACGGATGTTGGTCGATTCCAACCGTCCAATATGATCTTGTTTGGGTGGGCTATGCGTCCTGTAGCAGCGGGTACTTCAATTGCTGCCACGTAACGTGACACTGCCTTTCAATGCATTTCCAAATATTCTGTGGTATTTTTTACTAGTATGTTAAGATCACCAGCTTTTATTATCCATTAGAGCTTATGAAAAGTCTGACAATGAAATGCATTTTAGGTTACGAATTCCCTAAAGCCGAAGTGTCTTTTGATAGGCGCGAGTAGCCAGAATTCGTTGTCTGTTGAGCGATCGATGGATCTATTCAT